AGTAAAATTAAAATACTTTCTTTAGAATGAAGTTACACTGCATTAAACTTACAAGGATCTGAGATGAAATCAGAGGCAAGGATTTCTTTCTGAAAAAATATTCCAAGTGTGGCATCTGTTGTGATATTGACTGCTCTACACAGATGCAAGCACATGAAAAGGAAACCTGTAAAATAAGATATTAACACAATATCATTAATGGGGAATAAAGATCACTGTTAGTGTCTGAAGGATTAAAACTTTTGTACGTGTAATATAAAACCATGTTGGTTCATTAATGGCTTTAGTTGAGTTTCACTTTGATTCCTATCTGCTTCTTGATGCAGTCACAACTATAAAAAAAGTAAATTATGCTCAATACTGATACTCTGGCTTAGATTTCCTGTCATTTGAGAAATCTTCAGTAGATTTTAGACAAAGGAGGGAAGTCTTCGTTAATTTAAATTTAATTAAATCAAAAGGAGATAAGATAGTGCTCTTTCCAATACAAGGCAGCAATATACAACTGCAGCTCGTCTGTACAGCAAATTGCAGTTCTGTAGTAAAAAAGATGTACAACAAAACGCCAGCTCTATTGTGAACAAAGACACAAAGAACGGGGTTGAGAGCTCAAATATTCTTACAACAACAGGCCTGTCCATTGATAATTATGCGAAAACTTAAAATAGAGAAAAGATAAAAAGGGAGTTAATCTTGTGTTAGTCGCCGTAAAATTATAAAGTTCAACGAAAGAAAAATACATTCTCTTTTCATCAAAGATTTTAAATTAGTTTAGACTGTACTGTAAGCCTACCAAGACAGCTAGCTTGTTTGAGATTCATCGTTTCCTAACCAGAACAGCGTCTTCGAGAATCTAGAAAGAATAAATAACGCCCTTCCTGTTAAAACAGTTGACTTAAACTTTAAAAGCAACAGAGCAAATCCAACTTAATTACTTCTTGCATTGTGAGCTACAACTGCTAAGCATAACTTACCTTCTCTTCGATCTGTGAAGCTTCTGTCGGCTCCAGAACGTTTCGATGACCACGAGAGTCGCCTAGAGTGCCAAATATAAACAAGGCGTTCCGTACTTCAAGCTTTTAAGGGTGAAAAATATCATACAGATGAATAACCTGCATATTTCAATTCCATTTCAAGCTGTTTTGGAATTTGTGGCAACTGGCGACGCTTTATGGGAATATCCGCTGACCAGATCAACAAATTCCCAGACGTCTTTGCGCCCGCCGTCGGCAATATCCCGGATGCTCGCTCTCTCTCTTCCCTCTTTCGTGGTGGCTGTGCAACATTCATTCCTAAAGAGAATTTGGTCGGGTTTATAAAACTCATCCACACAGCCATCAGACCGCAATCACACGTCAATCCATAACAAACATGCCTCCTAAGTTCGATCCAAATGAAATTAAAATTGGTAAGCTAATTTCTGTGATTATTGAACGGATAATTTCGACCTGAGTCAGTCGTCTTTCCAAATTCTTACTATCTTTTCTTCCAGTCTACCTACGAGCGACCGGCGGTGAAGTTGGCGCGACATCTGCTCTTGCCCCCAAGATCGGTCCTCTTGGTTTGGTGAGAAATTATTATTATTTTTTTTGTTGTCGTAATCAGTAATGATTGGCGAAAATAATAAAGCTAACTTTTAAATTTACTGTCTGTTTAAAAGTGCAGTAAAATTTATGAGAAACTACACGTGCAGAATTTTAGACTGGGAGTAAAATCTCAGTCAAGCACTTATAAATGCGGGCGTATTTCTATGATTTCTATTTCTCAATAATACCTAGTTTGGCTAGATTTTTAGAGCTTGATACACAACCAGGCCAATAATTTTTTCACTTACGCTTATAAAAATTTGTAAATCTAACATTACCCTCGGCTGTTGGTTTATATTCGTCAGCGTTACATCATGAACTTAAAGAGGGCATTCTTAAAATCCATTGTAAGAACAAACAAAAGGTACAAAACTTTACAGAGGCGTTGGCTCATTTATAGTCATGTTCATTATAAACATTTCAGTCTCCCAAAAAAGTTGGAGATGACATCGCCAAGGCAACACAAGACTGGAAGGGACTGCGAATCACAGTTCAGTTGACAATTCAGAACAGACAGGCCAAGGTGTCAGTTGTACCAAGTGCCTCGTCACTTATCATCAGAGCCCTGAAGGAACCTCCTAGAGATCGCAAGAAAGTCAAGAACAGTGAGTGGCCCATTCCTAACATCTTC